TCTCTCTCTCTCTCTCTCTCTCTCTCTCTCTCTCTCTCTCTCTCCATTCAGAACAGAGCATTCATCGCAGATATCTAAGGAACTTAAAAGCCAGCACTCTATTCTAATTCACTCTAGGTTTATCGTCCTACCAAGTTATTGCCCTAGTTGAGAATGGCAGAAGACCCCTGAGCAAGAACAAGCCTTAGCCTTACATCTAGCAAGTTCAAGGACCCGCTAAGCTGAAAAACGCGGTCTCATTTTCCTATTCCATTGTCCAGTTTGAAACAGTTCTATCCCAGGGTTATGAAGCTGAAAGAGTGGAGTACTGCGAACTGAGAAGCCAGATGAAGAGTCTTACCAGGCCCTGAGCAAGGTTTGAATTAAAAAGTTAAGTATATAGCATGTAGGAAGTCCCCAAGAACCAGTTGCCATGCAGCAAGACCTCCAATTCTAGGTGAGAAGGGAAGGCCTGTCCCACCTCGGAAACCCCACATTATCTACCCCTGCTTGTCTGCCCAAGGGGCCCTGACAACTCAGTCCTTGCCACCTTAGGTGAAAGCACTCTGGGGCTAGAGGTAGCTCCATGGTGGGTGTGCCTTGGTCTTTTTGGAGAAAAGCCCATATTTCACAAACTGTGCTCCAACCTGGACAAGAGCAAGCTGGTGGCATAGCAAATGCACAGAGAATAACAGAAAGGTGCTAGATGGGAGTGATTTAATCAGGCCTGGCCTCAGGGGCCTTCCTCCAGCCTTCTCAGTCTTAGAGGTCCCCAGGGAGCAAGTTCAAGAACCTAGGATATCTAGAAACCAGGCACTCCTGCCATTGTCCCTGCAGATTCTGGGAAGCTTGAGGGTCAAGATGCCCTTAACCACCCAGTGTTGCCTGCAGGAGTTGTGGCCAAAAGTGACCACTCCTGTGTTCCAGCAAAAATATTTAAGACAAGGCAAACCAGAAGTCTTGCAAATCCCTTTCCCAGCAGCTCAGACCTTGCTTTAGGCTCCAGGTCTCATGTGGCCAGTCAGAACCCTGTGGCTGGAGCCAACCTAGATGAGGCCTAAAGAGAAAGTTATGGGATTGCTCTCTAGACTCGCCCCAGCTCTTTCCTCCACCTCCATTGCCTGTCTCCCTTCTCTTTTTGGAAGCCTCTTACATACTGTTCTCTCTCAGACCTGGTTTGGACTGAGAAATGATTATATCATAGGACACACACCCTCTATGATGGCCCCCCCATCCCCCACCCAAAAAAAAAATGAAAAGAGGCCTTGGGTTCCTGACCTGGATCAGCTAGTAAAGGTGCTTGCTGAGAAACCCAGTGACCTGAATGTGATCCCTGGGACCCACAAAGCGAAAAGAGAGAACCAACTAGTGCAACCTTTACAAAGTTGTCCTCTGACCTCCATAGTTGTGCCATGGCCTATGTCTCCTTCAAATAAATGTAATTTTAAATTTTAAAAAGAGGTCTTTTTGACCATCTGCTAACTCAAATGCAGGTCCAAAGGCATGAACACACCCCTACAGAAAAAAAAAAATTGTCTCAGAGACAAAGAAGAGGAGGCAGGGTCTTCAAGGCATGCATCTGCGTCCCACTCTAAGCATATGCTCAGCAGTTTCTCTCTGAGCTCCCACATCCCTTCCTCAGGTTGCACCCACCCTACCCCACATTCACACCCTACCCCACATTCACACATACCCTAGTTTCACATTAAGCCACTAAAACAATTGTACCCAAGTGAAGACAAGCAGATTTGGAAGAGTTGTGAAAATGGAGGTTTCCTCTAAGTAAGTGTGAGAGGTGGTAACACTGACTCTACAGGAAATCTTCCCACCCTCTTCCCCAAGAATATGCACCCCTTAACGTAAATGTTGGTGATGGTGGAGAAGGTCTGGAAAAAGATGAGACAAGATGGTTTAATATGTGTGACTTTGGTACACCAGTGTACAGACAAGGGGAGAGGAAAGAAGGGGGTTCTGGGGTTAACTAAGACTATGAAAGTGCAGTATGTGTTTGCCTTCTACTGATTGCTCAAAGGCCTTCAGAAAACATTCTCTTATTACCTTAGTTTCGATCTTTTAATCTTTAAGAACAAGAGTGGGGTCCCCAGTATGATGATAATAATACACGGGCATTTTCCAGGCTTTCCAGGCACAGGCTCTGCTTGTCCCCCTTGTAGATCCATCTGGGCTGAAACTGACTGATAAAGACCAAGACAGAGGGACTAGCCCAGCCCCTACAGGAATGTAAAGAGCAAGGGAGGGTGCTAAACTCCCAGAAAGCAGGAAAAGATTCCCCAGGAGTCACTGAACATGGGGGGCAAGGAGGAGAAATGTGTGCAAGAAAGGCTTAGGCCTAGCCTTGGTAGAGGGAAATCCAGGAAGAACATCACTTAGGTGACTATGCACCTAAGTCAGGCCCTGCCCAAACATAGAAATTTCAAAGGCAAACATCAGCAGCATCAGGACAAGAAGCATAAACAGAAACAGGCATTCTCAGAAATGAAGTGCCCCCCCCCCGCATCCTCAGAGTACACCTCTTTCCCTTCTGTTACAGCACACTAAATACCACCTTACATCCACCCCTGCCAATGCCTCAATGCTGAGGTGACCACCAGCCGACTTTGATTTAGGCATTTGGAATGAGTAATTGAAAACAAAGTTAAGAATAGTTGGCCAGCAGGATAAGTTAGACTGCCTTAAACACGTGGTCAGGACACTCTGTGGGGGCAAGGCGATTGTAATGAACTTGGCTAACAGGGGAGGTGTAAAACGTTATGAGGCGACTATGGGGTGGAAAGAAACCATAGGGACAGGCAGAGGTGTTGCCTAGTGATCAGGCCTGGTTCAGCTTCAAGTTGTGTGACCTTAGACAAGTCGATGATCGGACTAGGACTTCAGTTTCCCCTCTCCAGAGTGCAAGGTGTCCAAACACTTGACAAGATAAAAAGAATATGCAAGATATTGACGGGATGGGTAGGAAAGAGGGCTGGGCTGTGATCAAACTTTCCCGGAACACGGAGCTAATATTTACCTCTTTTTACTTCTGGTCCCATGCTGGCGCCCCAAAACAACAAAGAGCACGAAATGGGATCTGTAAGAGGCCTGGAGCCCCAGGAGCAGGCGGGGGCAGATTTTGAGAAGCGCCTGGCCAGCGCCAGTTCTATCGAGGCAGCGTGGGCCTCTCCTGTAGACCGCACCTCCAGTCGCCCAGGTTGGTTTTGGTGCCCAAGAGCTGTGACACTGATGTGAGTGAGGCCTTGGCTATTCAACCGCCCCCTCACACTTTTTAAAAATAAAAGTCCGCGGGGGCAAAAGGTCTTTAATGATGTTTTTTTGTTTTCGCGAAATAAAAATCGTCTATTTTTATTTTAAACCAGCAGCGTGCCCACCTCTCAGTCCTTCCAGATGTTTGCAATAAAATCGCAGGTTTTGCCTTTGGGACTGGAAATAAAATTTAACGACCTTCACCCTGTAATTATTCTCTTAGCTCGCCCTTCATAAATTTATCTGCTTTCTATCGGCGTTGGGGCAAGAGGCGAGCAAAAGGGGGGAAAGCCCCGATTTTATATTCGTGGCTATAAAAAAGCGCCACCCGGTTTCCTCGCCTTCGGCCGCCGCAGCGTGGCCGGGCAGGCCGGGCCGACGGGCGGCAACATTGCTCTATTGTTCGCTGACTGGGTCTGCGCCGGAGCTCGGCCCCTCCACAAAGGGAGCCTTGTGTGGCCCTGCCCGCCGGGCCGCGCCCAGGAGGCGAGGAAATCCTGCTCCCACAGGCCCGGCTCCTCTTTCGCTCCTGGTTTGGTGCAGCTCAGCAGTACGACTTTTTTCTTCCCGGGCGCCAGCCGCCTGCGAGGACCTGCCAGCCTTCGCAGGA